GTGTGTGTGCCTTGTGTCTGTGTTGACTCCTAGCGACCATCTCGACAAGTCCTTGCAGTTTTCTTGGCAAGGTTTTTCAGAAGTGGCTTGCCCTTGCCTCCTTCCTAGGGCTGAGAGCGAGGGACTGGCCCAAGGCCACCCAGCTGGCTTCATGCCTAAGGTGGTCTCTTGATTTCAAGCATGGTGCCTTAACCACTACACCAAACTGGCTCTCTAGGCACTAGTTAGAGATCTGTGAAAATGTGAAATATAACCAACAGGTTGGGGTGATATTTCAAAGAGGGAAAAGCCCAGCTTTAGCCTTTCTTTCTTTCTTTCTTTCTTTCTTTCTTTCTTTCTTTCTTTCTTTCTTTCTTCCTTTCTTTCTTTCTTTCTTTCTTTCTCTCTCTCTCTCTCTCTCTCTCTCTCTCTCTCTCTCTCTCTCTCTCTCTCTCTCTCTCTCTCTCTCTCTCTCTCTCTCTCTCTCTCTCTCTCTCTCTCTCTCTCTCTCTCTCTCTCTCTCTCTCTCTCTCTCTCTCTCTCTCTCTCTCTCTCTCTCTCTCTCTCTCTCTCTCTCTCTCTCTCTCTCTCTCTCTCTCTCTCTCTCTCTCTCTCTCTCTCTCTCTCTCTCTCTCTCTCTCTCTCTCTCTCTCTCTCTCTCTCTCTCTCTCTCTCTCTCTCTCTCTCTCTCTCTCTCTCTCTCTCTCTCTCTCTCTCTCTCTCTCTCTCTCTCTCTCTCTCTCTCTCTCTCTCTCTCTCTCTCTCTCTCTCTCTCTCTCTCTCTCTCTCTCTCTCTCTCTCTCTCTCTCTCCTTCCTTCCTTCCTTCCTTCCTTCCCTCCTGTTCAGCCCCCTTCCCAAATCAGCTCCTATCCTTCCATATCTTCAGCATGCCCTAAGGGTATAAATTCAAGGCTGTCACAAAACAAATTTTAGCAAATCCTTGTAGATCGATTAACTGCTTTCATGCCCATCTCCCTGGAAGACAGGAGGGTGCAAATTGAGAATGTGCAAACAATCGGGGGTAAATGGCATCGCCCTAATAATGAGAGCAGAAAGTCCTCCCTCAGCTAGAGTTTGGGAGGGGAGGTTCCCCCCTTCAGGGGATCAGATGCATTTGTTATGGATGACAAGACAAACAACTACCTGCATTTTTCAATAATTATGTCAGTCGGGTCAGAGAAGAATAGAAAATGAAGTGAATTCTTAATATCCTCAGAGATCACTTTAGGAAGCGGGTTGTTTTCATTTTTCATTTAGCCTTGCTGCCTGCGTTCACTTTTCCTTTAATATATCTAGCAAATGCTTTAAACTCTGGGGTGATGCCATTGCTAACACATGGATTGTATCATCATTTGGATCGGGGAGGGGGGGGATGCAGCTGAATTTCAAGAAACTCCCAAAAGTCTTCGCTTCTCTTCAGCCTTTCCCTAGACTACCTTGAAACAGTGTTCTATCCTGGAATCATTTGTCGCCCTCAGATAGCCATGGTTCAGTTCCTCCAAAATGGTGCATTTTCCCACTGTTTTTCAGGGAAATGCACAGTCAAACCATTAGGCCCTAGACTGCTCAAAAATAAGACAAAAACAGCCTCCCTTTGAATCCCTTTGAATTGGAGCGGGTTAACAGATGGACTGGAACAATAACCAGGAGCGCTCTTGTTGAGACGAGAAAATGTAGTACAACATTTTGTTGCAGACCCCAGTTGTGATTTTGTGATGTACGTACAGCAGAAATTCAGAACCACTGTTCCATAGCCTAAGGATTCCTAGACTGAAAAAACAGGCATTGCATTGGATCTTGACAACAGAGCGCTTAAGGGGTTGGACTGGCACCACAAAAATCCAGGTTAAGTTCATCATCAATCACGGAAGTTCATTGGGTGAGTTTTCTTTCTCTCTCAACTTAACCTCCTTCAAAGGGTTGTTGTTCTGGGGAAAATGGAAGAAGGAAACACTATATACCCTGCCCTGAAGCAGGATATAAATCAAATAAATAAAAGATCCACCAAATTTCTCATCTGGATGCAAAGCCTCTGTAGTTCCAGGTTTTCCCCAACGCACGTGATATTGTTATACTTAATAGGTACCCATTTCCCTCTATCAAATTAATCCTGATTAGTATGGAGAAGCCTCTCCAGCCCCATAGACAAACTCGTCCAGCAGTAAAGCAGATTCTATCAATATCTTATTCAGTTCACTTTTAATTATTCCAAATGCCACCAAACTCTGCCACCTCCTTCTGGTTGAGTTCTGGATTAGTTAAATTAATGAACCAGAAGACAGAGGAAGGAGCTGCATTCTTTATTAAGTAGTGCTGACTAAGGAAAGAAAAAAGAGAGAGACAAGGAAAACTCAACACTCAATTTTATTTTATTTTATTTTTTGACAGCCCTCCCCTTTCTTCGTCCCCCCACTGCCCCCACTACGGTAGATGCCCCGGCACCTCAGACAGAAAAATTCCTTGGGCCAGTTTTATCTGCCAAGCCTTTTGCCAATTTAAGAACAGCTCTCCACCAGCTCTTTTCGGCTGTGCTTAATTAATCATCCTTTACTCTTTTTCCTGTTCTTTCCATTTTCCATGTTTTCTTTGTCAAGAAAGGATGTTTAGTACATTAAGTGAATAAAAATGTGCATGAAATGAAGAAATAAAATCCTTCAGGCTTTTTTTTTAATCATTTCCTTTCTTAGATCTCTATAGTTTTAGCAACCCAAATAGATTCATTAAAGGTTTCCTTTGAAATGCCAGAAGTTTTGCATAAAGGGAGAAAGAGAGAGAGAGAGAGGGAAGGAGAGAAAGAGAGAGAGAGAGAGAAGGAAGGAAGGAAGGAAGGAAGGAAGGAAGGAAGGAAGGAAGGGTGGAAGGAAGGGTGGAAGGAAGGGTGGAAGGAAGGGTGGAAGGGTTGGTTTTGGATGGCACTAATGTTGATACTCATTCCCATGTAGCCTGTGATTTAGGTGCTGTTTTTGTAACTGAATCTTGAAGGCATCTTGGCCTTTGAGAAGAGTGTAATGTACCATGCTGATAAGAATCCAGGGTAAATAGTGCTCCGTGATCTGTTGCCATGAACATCACAGGCAACCTATCCCACTCAAGCAACAAAGATGGCAATTAGATAAACAAGTTTCAAGCACCCGTTTTTCAGCCTCAGAATCCAAACAGTTAACAATTAATATTTCCTAAAGGTTTCTTGTTTGAAAGGATGGGGGAAAAGAGATCTCCAGTCTCAACCCTATTTACAGATTTATACTTGACAGAAGCATCTGTCATTGATTAGGAGGTTAATGATCAGTTGTTTCAGGTCTAGATATTCTGTAGCAGCTGAGCCTCCTAACAACAGAGGTCACGAAAGATGAATGACTTACGAACTGGCTAATGTTCTGTCTTGCACATTTCACAAGTAAGCAGAGAGGTTGAACACTGTGGAGCTGGAGAGCGGTGGTTGTTGTGATCCAAATGAATATCACAGTCTAATTGACTGGGTGTTGACTCCAGTGATTCAGTACTTAGTCTGAAATCTTAGTTCATGGAGGTATCATCTCCATAAAATGTATACTGTTACAAGTAGGGTAGCCTTTAGCAAATTTAGTTGTGTCAAGTCTAGTAAGTTTAAGATTTCTAAATATTTGATGAATATTTGCACCAAGAGGTCCAATTACAATTGGTATGCCAGTGGATTTTTTTTTCCTCCCAAATCTTTCAGCCTCAATTTGTAAGTCCTGATATTTTGATGTTTTCTTCAGTTGGTTTTTCATCAATTTGATGTCTCCAATTATTGCCACATCAATGAAACACTTCTTTTCTATAACAGCAATGCCTGGTGTATCATGTTCTAATGCTTATCAGTTTGAATTTTGAAATCCCACCACATTTTGATCTCATTTTGCAAAACTTTCCCTAGCTTACTTTCGACCTAATGGTTAATTGTTGCAATCGTATCATGGTGTTGTTTATAGGAGAAAGTCCCGTCAGCAAATCTGTTTGACTGGCTTTACTGCAGCCACTAAGATGATGATGATGATGATGATGATGATGATGATGATGATGATGATAATGATGATGATGATGATGATGATTTTGAGCTACTATCTGATGAAGTATATTTAAAAGGATTAATCATATGACCAACCTATGTTTGACACATGTACATCCTCAAATTCATGGATGATTTTAGACCAGTAATGATGGAAACGTTTTGTTAGCAACAATTATTTGGGAGGTGTGAGGATCACAATGGTGGGGCAATCATGCAAAAAAAAAAAAAAAAAAAAAAAAAAAAAGGAAGTTATACATACAGGAAAACCAGGAATTCTCTATTTTTTCCTAAATGGGAGAGTTATGTATTTTTCTTTGAGTTTTAGAAGGTGGTAGACCTATCTGAATGCTTGCAATATGCTTCCCACCCAAAATTTGTTGGGGTGGTGAAAGAGGCTCTGGAGACAACAAGAGCAACAAGCTGTGGGGGTACCAGCAGACCCTGGACTAAATATTGTATGAGGCGTTCTGGCTTTAGATAATGATGAGTGTTTATTACTTTTGTTGGGAAGTAATGGTTTCTACATGATCAATACCCACAAAAGGCAAAACGCCAGTTTGCCAACCCTGTGCACTTTCCACTTTAAGTCTCGCTCAATCATATTGCTATGAGGGTATTTGGGACCAAGGACCATCTTGGTGAAGAAAGGAACAATGCCATTTTAAAGTACAAGTTATCTAGTGAACATCAAGGGCTGTGAGGTTAGGCCTGAAGGAAAGATGTTCTACTGGTCAGCATCAACCTGAGAAAGCTCCAGATGTCTAGAGTAGCCCAGATGTTGATGATGGACCTGTTTCCACTGCTCCATCATGTGTAACTCCACTCCTGATTGGGACTTACTTACAGGAGGTTCCTGGGTTGAGAAAGGCCGGCATGAAGTGCATTCAGTAGAATTCTCCTGGTCTTATCCTCTCTTGAAAATCTACAACGAGGCCTGCTTTGCATAATTTTGCTATCTCTGTTTCTTTTTCTCTTTCCCCTGCAAAGAATGCTTGAAGATGATCTGAAACTCAGCAGTGATGAAGACGATAATGATCAGGTAAGCTTTTTAAGAAACCAAAAACTTCCAAGCTTTGCTTTTCAAAGTGCTAAAGGTAGCCTTCCTGACATCGGCATTGCAGGACTTTGTCCCAACTATCCCATATGAAGGATGTCATTTCTGCCAAAATAGAGGCGCTTAGTTTTGCATTTTCCTTCATTGTAGGCATTCTAGACCTTATTTTATCCAAGACTCCCTTGGTTGTCCTCGCCCTTCCAAGTGGCAAACTTCTCCAGCTCACCAACATTCTGTCCTTCTTACAACTCATCAAAGGCACCAGGTTGGGGGCCATTAAGAAATCAGTTCTGACTGCCCCAGAACTGTGACTGCCCCAAGATGGCAGTGAGGGGCAAGATGTGGTCCCAGAACCACAGATACCCAACCAGACTATTTTGGTGTGGCTCTGGGAGCTCCTTGCAACATGACTGTCAAAAGTCAGCAGCACCCTTCCATTTTGCATAGGAAAACCTAGAGATCATGTTAAATGGAGGCCATATGCAGAAAAGTCCTGCCCCCAAATATCCAGGAAAAAGCAGAAAAATGGTGCACAAGCCCATTTGCACCATCAGCTTGCCCTTTACAGTCCTCCTCCTCCCAGATGTTCAGTGTGTTCCCCCATGCTGTGAAAAGGCTTTTTACACTTCAGGAGGTGTCAAAATAGGCAAGATGGCAGGTCGACAGAGCTGGCAACATAAGCATCTCTACTTTCTTTGCCAATTTCAATGCCTCCTCCATGGATGCTGCCATCACTCCTGCATTCCACCATCCATCCATAGGTTTATCCACACCCTGCAGAGCTGATTTATGGAAAATTAAACACTTTGGAAATGAAGAAATCTTCAGCAGCAATCAGAGAGATAGTTTCACATGTGTCAAGTTCACAAAGTGTCCCATCTAATCAGCTTGGGGACCTTAGCACGTCTTGTGGATGCAAAACAAGAAAACAAAGAGGGCTTAGACTTGGAGTCAACTTTCATTTGCGTCTTTGGATCTGTTACTGATGCTGTGTTTTTAGTTCACAAAAAGATATCTTGAGTTCCTCTTTCAGTATTCCTTACATAATTAGTATCAAATGCTTTTCTTCACTAAAAAAAAATGCTACTGGTGGGTTTCTAAAATGTTGTTCTAATTGTTTGATGTTAACCACAAATATGGTCTCAGTCTTCTGCGTTCAAAAAAAAAAATGTATGGAAGCTTATAAGACTCCAGTTCTTAACAGCAGGTAAACATCTGCCTAATGCTTTATTGAGCAGAATCATAAAAACTGAGATGTGGTAATGTCTATATTTTATAATGTTCTAGCAGTCTGGAATCTGGAGGAACAGATTCCCGGGCTCTTTGTGCTATAGAGATGGCATTTTCATAGCCACATCATAGCCACATGTATAAGCAAAATGTAACCCTGCCCTATATTTGTATGAAGACCCTAATCCCAATTATTTTGGCCATAATCCAATTGTAGTCATGTGCAACTACTTACCGGCAACAGCCAGTAACTCAAGATGGTAACGCACTTTCCCATCTATGCAAAGACCTTCAGCGAGGTCCACTTGAGCATTGTACATGACTTGCACACTCAACAACCTATTTCCATAGCAAGATCCCTTTCAATAAATCAAGGAATAGGTGCACAGTTGCCAACAAGAACAATATAGACCCCAGTCTTGAATTGTTGCATCAGTTTTATATAATATAGTTTACTTTAATTTATGATAAAGAAGTAATCACTCATTCATCCCCAAACTAGAAAATTGTAGAAGAAGGAATCATTATTCTTACCTCTTACCCACTCAAGGCAATTGGGCTGTTTGTCTCAGCCACCATAGTCATCTTATCTCCTAGCAAGTTGAGAGAATTATAGCATGTGTGAATTGTTTTCATATTCCTAGTGCAATGCTCTAAGGATTGCAATGTAGATCTCCAGCAAAAAGAAAGGGAAAAAAAAGGAAAAAAAACCTTCTGTCCCACAAGATATTGCTTAATCATTGCTTGGGATAATCTGCATGGAGAGGGCGCTAAGCTATATAGTGCAACTGAGGTTAGATAGAGTTTATATCAGGACAGTACGTGCTCTTTGGGGGTAAAGTTTTGGACTGGCATGCCAGGGGCATATTCCCAGCACCTGATAGAACCAGAATAAGTGGGTCAGAACAGAAACTAAAGTTAGTTCAGACTGGTTCAATTTAAATTAACCTGGAATGGAATTGAATGCTATTCCTGAGTTGCTTAATCATTTCCCCCCCTCTGTCTGTGTGTGTGTGTGTGCGTGTGTGTGTGCGCACCTTCAAGTCAGTGTTGACTCCTGGAGATGCCTGGACTAGTTCCTCTAGTTTTCTTGGCCTGGTTTTTGGAAGTGGTTTGCCATTGCCTCCTTCCTAGGCCTGAGAGAGAGGGTCTGGCCCAAGGTCACCCAGCTGGCTTCGTGCCTAAGGCGGGACTAGAACTTGTGGTCTCCTGCTTTCTAGCCTGGTGCCTTCTCCACCACACCAAGCTGGCTCCCTTCCCCCCACTAGTACATTAATAATTACAATTCAGTGACAATTGAGGGAGGGTCCCTGTAGGCCCATGGCTTCAGGAGTGGAGTGGAGCCTGGGGCTTCAAATTGTATCCTCTCTTTTCTCTATAAAGCCCCCAGATCTCACAGGACCAAGAAATGCCTCATCTCACAAAGCTTAACCCTCTCATGGTTGTAAAGCCATTCCCACAGGATTCTCTGATTTCTCAGACCATGCCAGGACTGCATTCACCCAACCCTTTTAACCTGACTACTGAATGAACTCCGTGATACCCTGGACCATGAACTAACCAAACTGGCTGGGTTCGCAGAACAACCTATGCCAGTCACCATCAATGGGTAGCAGTTAACTAAACTGAGCAGGTTGTAGGAATGCAGTCTCAGCCTCTCAGTCCTTAACTGGCTTAGTTGTATGAACACAGTCAGTAAGTTTCTTAGATACGCTCTCCAGAGGGAAAAAACACCGCCTTGGAACACTCTCTGCAGAAACAACTCAACCCTTTTCTTGCACATTTTATTGGCTTGGTTAAGAAGTTTTTATCCGAGTAAAGTGTAGCAAAATCTAGCGTTTTAAGCAATAAAGGCTTGCTATTTTTTTTCCCTCCATCTCCCAGCGTCTTTGTTCTGCTCTCTGCCTAAGAAACAGCCCTCTTAACCTTTGAAATGTCTGTCGTTAATTTAAAGCACATTGCTGGATAGTGATGTGTTTTGGACCCCAGTAACTTTGATACCACTCACTTGATTCACTTCATTGTTTTGTGATTCTTGGCAGAACGAATGGTCGAAGTGCATTTTTTAATCTCTTCCCCCCTCCTCTCTTCCCCCACTTTGCTTACATGATCCTCTTTTACACATGTGGCTATCCGATAATATTACACTAAACCTCCTCTATGTCAGCGATCGACTTGTAATATTTTATTTATTGTTTCTCTCTTTGTATTGGATAATTGCATGCAAAAAGAATTATTTGATTGCTCCGAGGCTTTTCAAACGGGAGGTTAAGTGCTGCTTCTCTTTAAATTCTTAAAGTAGGGAATCTCTCTACCCAACAATTTGTGTGTGTTTGTTTTTTAACCCCGCTTAAAAGTTAGCTGATTTGGCAATTACAGCCATCCTTTTTTTTTTTTAGGCTCCTACATTTCTCGTTCCAATAATATATCCATTCCTGTTCACCTACCCCTTCATTCCTTTTTAGCTACACTCTTTTTTTAAAAAAGCTGTTTACCTTCCAGACAACACACACACACATACACACACAACCTATTTATTTTGTTATCAGTAGAAGCACTGAGAAGTCATTTCTCAGTCATGACATCAATACTGAACACACAAGGAGAACAAGGTCATCTTGTCAAAGCGATGGGGGGGGGGAATCAGATGGATGAAGGTGCAACTAACTATCAATAACTTTGATAGAGTATTTTAATGCAAGCTGTTTACTTTCTATTGAGTTTCACTGAAGTCTTAGGGGTAACGATGTTGCTGTAACAAATAGAATAAATTCTTTTTAAAAATGGAGGGCCTCTTCCCCTTTCGTAATGAAGCTTTACTTGCAAGGTGATCCAGAGAAATGTTGATCAGATCACAGAAATTCTTTCTGAGCATGTCAAAGTTCAGTCCCTGATTTTTTTAACCCAAGGAGGGACCTCCAGAGTGACTTGGAAATTTGGGGATAGGCAAAAGTTCATGAACCTCCTGGTTTTAGTAAAAACAAAAATTAGCTTCATCTAAGATCCTGACATTTAGATCCCACGTAGATAACAGCTATAATGTTCAATACCCACAAGAAAATATAGTATATTGTTAATAGAAACAGCATTTTTTTTACTATTTACTCTTCCATTCTTTGTTGCAGAAGGCTTAAAGAAAGCAGACTAAGTAAGCAATTGGGAACTTAATCATGAAAATGGTCCTCTCTGAATAAATTGTTTGATCTGATTCAAACTGGGAGCTAGTAACAGGCTCATCAGAATCGATTCATTCACTACATTATATCATAATAGGATTTATTTATTTTTGTCTTGAGAATTTGTATGAATTTTTACCTTTGTGGTGTGCAAGCCATGGTTTTGAACTTAGCGTATTTGAAGAAAGTAAGGATATGAAGAATGGTGTTCTGTGCAGAACAACTTTGTGGCTTGATATTGAGATGAAAGAGACAAGGAATTGGCTTTATCAGAGAAAGAAGAAACACGGATGCTCAGGACCATTTGCATTTCATTTCCCAGTGATCTCTTACGGCCTAGCATAAATATGCAATTGCCTTTAAAAAAAACCAGAAACAAAACTCCCCAGCCCTTCATATGAATGTTATAACCAAAGCTTTTTATGTCGATAACAGCCAGCAAAGCTCTCTTTCTTCATCTCTCGCACAGCAATGTCACTTTTTCCCCCCTCTTCTCACTGGAGAGTTATTCATTGATTGAGAGAAGGAAAGACATGCAGGACTGCTATGAATTCCCTTGAGGAGCTCAGTAAAGTAGAC